TTATGGTAAGTACACATTAAATTCATTGTTACACAAAGTAGCTCTTTGCCTAATGATCTAATGTACACTGAAGAAGTCTGACAATTATGTCAGTGCCTGAAATTCAAGTTATTCCCTCTGTTCCTTCTTAGTGTCCTGAAAAACAGCATTAGTGTTCTTGAAGCTTTTTCATTTCTCAAGAGTAAGATGCTAAAAGCAAAATATTGCTGCTACAATCTCTGAAAGATATTCAGCATTTCTTGTAGTCTTGCTAAGACAGTTTACAAGGTCTCACCTTTTATTGCATGGCTCCAACCACAACACAACAATGAAATGACAAATGTAAGAGCCCTAGCCACTTGGTTTCAAACCTATTTGTTACTATATCTCCCCATAAAGTTAAAGTCTAAACTTCAATATATCAAGAATGCAACTTGTAAAAACTATGTAATATCAAACAGCTTTACAAATTAAAAACCAACAAAAAACCTCCACAGAATCACAGAATGATTTTGGGCAGGAAGAGACTTTAAAGATCACTTAGTGACAAACCCCCCGCCTCTTCCATTAGACCAGACTCCTTGGGCCCGCATCCAACCTGGCCTTGAATATTTCCAGGGATAGGGCATCTTTCCTGGGCAACCTGTGTCAGAGCCTCACCATCCTCACAGGGAAGAATTTCTTCCTAACATCTAATCTAAACCTTCCTTCTGTCTGAAACCATTCCCCCTTGTCATCACTTGTCCTGTCACTACATGGCACTACTTGTATATAGTCCTTCTCCATCTTTCTTATCGCTCCCTTCAGGCACTGGAAGGCCACAATCCGGTCTCTGCTGTGAGTGCACATCGATGGCTCATGTCCAGCCTCTCACCCATCAGCACGCCCAAGTCCTTCTCCAGAGGGCTGCTCTCGATCCATTCATCCCCCAGCCTGGATTGATACCTGGCCTTGCCCTGACCCAGGTGCAGCACCTTGCACTTGGCTTTGTTAAACCTCATGGGGTTCACACAGGCCCACTTCTAGAGCTTATCCAGGTCCCCCTGGATGGCATTCCATCCTTTTGGAGTGTCAACTGCACCACTCAGCTTGGTGTCATCTGCAAATCTACTGAGGGTGCACTTGATTCCTTTGTCTGTGTCGTTGATGAAGATATATGTAGGGAGAGATACAATTTTGGAACAATTTGTGATAGTAAATTAGAAACTCAGTTTTTGCTAGGAAGGCTTTCTGCCTAAATGGTAACTCTTTCTCAAAGGCAATTTCAATGCTTTTCCCCCCTGCACAGCAAGAGAAATTCTGAGCCTCTCTCTCTGACGTGTGAGAGGAGAGAGACAGTCCTGACATACACAGAGGCCTTGAGAAGGTGAAGGAGAAACAGAGAGGATAAAAGGGGCCCTGAGGGGGCAGGAACTCACCTTTTTTTTCCTGGAGGCCCAATGTGCCACATTGTAAAAAAGTGGTCCTTGTATCTGAAATAAACCTCTTTTTTAGCCGTTCCACTTCCTTGGAATTCTCGGGAAGAATACGTATGTTCACCTCACATTTTTTTGGCGCAGAATTGGCAGTTCACAGAGTGGTTGTGGAGGAGATCAAGGACTGGGGGGGGGGGCTGTGTCAGTGGTCCCCTGTGTCGCGAGACATCTTCAGCCTCCGTAGCTGTGTTTTTCTCCGTGGTATCTCTCCTGGAAGCCTGGCTTGCCGTGAGGTCTGTGACAGAGGGTTCTGCTGACCAGATTCAGAGCCCTAGACCAGGAGATTGTGTCTTTGTGGGACCAAGTAGCGGCCCAGGAGCAGCAACTCGATGGCCTGGAGCGTGTAATGCTTGGAACATGCAGCATTAGAGGCCTTTGGCCCGCATGGTCGGGAGCTGGAGCTTTTGGTGTCCCGCATGGCTGTCATGCAGGTACAGTCTTGCCTAGCCAAGTTTTTGCCCTTATGGATCCCTCTGGGGGTCCAGGGAGGTGGGATAGAAGTATTTTGACAGAGTCTTTGGACTCCGAAGTTGAATTTGGAGCTAGGCCAGCAGACGTTGGCCTAGTGCAAGCCCGACCCCCGATGAGGCTACTTTTGCTCAGTGGGGCGGTGTGGACTGCAAAGGTGTGTTCCCCAGAGGCTTTGAAACAGTCGGGATGGAGATGGGGCCCTTGCCTATGGGAAGTTTTGCTCCTGGCAGTGGCCTGTGGGGAAGTACAGCCCCATCTCGCTTCCCCCCTCCTTCCCCCACAGCCGTTCGGAGCTGTCTCTCCTGGCAGGGACTGGTGTGGGGGCACTGGCTCTGCTGGGCTGCTGTGGGGTTGGTGGCCCCAGCCCTGCTTGCCCAGCTTCTGACACTGAGAAAGACTGTCTAGCTAGACAGAAAGGAATACTCTTCTGCTGTGTTCCAAGCATGCCTGACCACTTCTCCTGAAGTTCACATATATCCAGGCAGTTTAACCTGGAGGAATTCACAGTTCCAGATACCAGAATTGCCAAAAGCTCCCACCTGTTCACTGCTCTTACCTCGTCACCATCTATAGACTTCTTAAAGAAACTCTACATTGCCTCAGAAGCACCTTTTGGGCAATTGTGGCACAAAGAAGCCGGATATCACCGTTCTTCTTTCAATCCTGCAATTGCATGCTAAGGCTATTTTAGTGCTTAAATACTAAAGCATTGGTCAGACTTCTAAATTTGGTCTGTTGTGAATTCAGGTGTTTTGCATGTTTCTGAGATAACATAATCACTAAGGCTGTGTTCATGAGAGGTATGATTTTGCCCAAAACTGCTGCCCTGAAACTGTTACCAATAAAAAAAAAAGTGTTCATCTTGGAAGTATTTTTAATTATGATCCAGAGCAGAGAATTTGGTGTTGCATTCAAATAATTTTAAATTGCAAAGATATATTGATTCATGTTTAAAAGTCTTTTATATGGCTTTTCCAGTCTTTCCTTCTTTTTCAATTTGCAAGAACAAAGCATTCTTATCTCTTGTCTAAGAAATATTTCCTTTTACAGTGATGTAAAGATAGAAGATCCAAGGATACAGGAGAACTTTTTTTCCCTGCACCGTCATTAAGGTCTACCAAAAGTCAGGTCAGTGAACAAGTACCTACTGAGAACTGTGGCTAACTTGAAAGTACAGGACAGGAAAAAAAGGGTTTTGACACTTTTTTCTAACTTATTTGCAATCAGTTTAATACCTTTGTGCTGAAGTGTGCAACTTTGACACGTGTTTCACTGAAGATTGGCCACATTTTAAACAACAGCAAATGCTGCCATCTAACGGTACCTGATCCCTGAACAAAAGCTGTCGGCTTACTCCAGCTGTCAAAGAACAAAAGAAATAGTTTTCACCTCACAAGCATCACTCTGCATGAAACAACCCAATCCAGACAGGAGCAGGTCTCAAGCAGAGCCACCAAATATCTCTGCATCCCTCTGCCCAGTGCTGCAGCTCCCAAGTGCAAATTCCTGACTTAAGCTAAGAGATCTGAAAACTTTCTTCGTCAACCATTTTTTTTTCTGGTTCTGGAAGTAATCATAGAATCATTAAGGTTGGAAAAGACCTCCAAGATCATCAAGTCCAACCTTTAATCAAACACCACCATGCCCACTAAGCCACAGCACTAAGTACCACATCCACTTGTTTTTGGAACATTTCCAGGGATGCTGATTCCACCAGTTCCCTGGGGAGTCAGTGCTCAACCATAATAAAGCCCGTTCAAACCATACTGTATCTGTACTTTTTAACTCTTCGATTTCCTGTGCCTTTATTTGTCCTGAAATTTACTTAGATTTTACTGTCATATTTAATAGGCTTTAAAATAGAAATGACATTAAAAGTTGAGTAATTAACTTATTGTTCCTGCTACTCTTGGTCTGAAAATGCTAAATCTTTTCGGATTCCCTGTAAAAAGTGAAACATTTTCAGTTTTTCTTGTGCTAATACATAGCTACTTTTTGAAAATTATTTTATGGTGGTTCTACCCCTCTAAGAACATACTATGTCCTGTAATGAATGAAACTGAAGATACTCCTTACAAAACAGACAAAAACATGTTAAGCATCTGAACTCTTTATTGAAGAATCTAACCCAGTTGTATTTTATTAGTGGTTCTGAATCCACCATGATACTTCATCTGAACAAGCTAAACTGCAAAAGAATCAGCAAAATATTATTATACATTTTTCATGCATTTTTTTCAGAATCAATCAGATAAATGTTTCCCCTAATTTTTATTAAATGTTGTCTGATAAAATATACCATGACATCCTTTTCAGATGACTAAGTAATGCTCTCTATGACATTTGGAGGATGATTAAATCTTAGGTACAATGATTCTCCAGATTTTCTGGAAGCAGTATCTCTTGTATAATATCCTTTGATTTTGGTAACTATGAGTATGACAGTTTTCATATGCTGAATGATACAAAGAATGAATTACATACAACTTTTATGCACAGGCAACTGAGAATGATCTGTTAAATCCATTAAGGTGCACATATAAAGACACCTCAAAAATTCTTAAGCATAAGCAAGTCCACCCAAAGGCTCTCGGAGGAGATGGTCCCAAACCATCAAAATTAGTGGCTGATTATACTCAAATGTCCTGAATGAGCTCTTTTACAGAAGTGCAGTAATTAATTATTTTTGCTACAATAAAGCCTGGTTGGAAATAATGCTTATCTCTAAAGAGATATACATTTTTCTAGAGCCTTATGTGTTTATAAATCTGTACCTTTTATGTATTTCTTCCATAAAAACATGAACTAGGACAAAACTGGCAGTTGAGAAAATGAACCCACTTACTCCAGTAGCTGAGGAAAAAGGTTCTATGGTTTGATTTTCCTCCAACATTTATTTCATAGTTGCTCAGATCTTAATTGTTTTAGAGAGAATTTGCAAATCTGAACAATCAGAATACTTCAAGGTTGCCATCATTATTCTAAATTTAGAGTATTATGCACTGGGATATGGCCTCCATCTCAAAATAAGTGACTTTGGTTTACATGTAAAAAATGCTGCAGCCTGAGGTAACCTTATGTGTCCAGCTTATTTGTTTCAGCAGTAGCATCGTAAAGCAAGGGGAGAGATGTGGAAGAAACAGGCCGTGGTTTATGTATCTTCCTGCCACTACTTTCATTAAGCATTGATACAATAAGCCTTTGCTTCTCCCGTGCTTCTTCTCCAAAGACAGCACTGTTATGTCTGCGACGGCAAAAGAAAGATGCATTTTTGAATGAACGCTGTATCAAATGCCTCCTGAAGGCCCTTTGGATAATAACTGCTGATACCTCCTCTTGTTTTCGTTTAAATGTAGAGGAAATTGGCCTGTGAGGAAATTTAGATGGATTGGCAACCCCAAATTTTTCTTCAATGAGTAATTTAAGCCTATCAAAATCTCCACATTCTCCCAAGACTCGTTTACTGAAAGCAAGTAAGATATCCAAGCAGTGGATCTTATCTCCACTCACTAGAGGGAGGTCCATGGATATGAGCTGGATGTTATTAGGCTTTGGAATGCGCAAAGGTTCTGCCAGAGCATCTGCAAAGTCTGAAAGAGCAGAATAGTCAATAAATTCTGTTGCCAGTGGATCAAATTTTCCCCATGTCTCATAAAACATATCAAAGTCATCCTCACAAAGAGGATCTGTGCTTTCTTCAGTGGCAACATTGAAGTTCTCTAAAATGACAGCTATGTACATATTTACAACAATGAGAAATGAGATAATGACATAGCTTACAAAATAGAAAATACCATATGCTGTGTTTGTGCAATTAATTTTATCTTTCTCTTTTAAATCTAAGTTGGGAGCACATGCACCAGATTCACTTAACAAAGGGGCCAGAAGAGTATCCCAGCCAGCTGATGTTGTAATTTGGAAGAGACAGAGAATGCTACCAGAAAAGGTTTGGAAATTGAAAATGTCATCAATCCCACTTTCCCAGGGAAGACAGGCAAAGTTTGCCATGCCCACAATGGCATAAATGAATATAATCAGGAAAAGCAAAAGGCCAATGTTGACCAGTGCAGGAAGAGACATCAGTAATGCAAACAGAAGGGTTCGAATTCCTCTCGCTTTTCGAACCAATCTCAGGATTCGGCCAATTCGCACCAAGCGAATGGTTCTCAAAAGTGTAGGAGAGAAGAATTTTTGGAAGGCTTCAGAAACTCCAATACCTTTGAAGAGAGAAAGAAAACAAAATGTTGTCATTTCATATTAGTCAAATTTATGTCTGCTTTGTTATAGTCTGTGCTTTAGGTGTCAGAAGTAACAGTGACCATATTACACCACTATCCACACAAACATCATCAATACTGCACCTGCTTACAAAACAGCTTAGGAAAAGAAAGACAAATTGATATTTCAGGATTAAAGAGTTATCAAGAGTATGCATCATTTGGAAACTTCATCCTCCCAAATTTCTCTAACTCAGGGGTGGTGAAGTTACACATTCATTGCTGAAATTCTTAAGAATCCTTTTAGCTCCATTCATCTCCCGAGATGGAAGTTGTGGGGATTGCCTGCTAGCTGTCATCTGCTGCTTCTTTACAGGCCTGCTCACATGCTAAATGTGAGGCTTTGACTAATGCTTGGTACTTGAAGGAGGTCAGAGAAGACCAAAATGAATGTAAAGGAAAACTGTCTTTTAGTATTTATCCCCCATTACACCCCGTTCTTTGACCCTACTAACAGAGCAATGGTACAGAGCAACGCAAATGATTACAAACAGAGGAGTTAAGGAGTCATCATTTTCCTGGGTTGCACAGGACAGCAAAGGGTTACTGTGCTTAGTCAGGAAACAGAGAACCCAGAGCAGTTTGTCTTTCCTGTCCTTTATTCTATGCTATAACCTGAGCCTGAATGGGAAGCACAGACCAAATAAACTGTACAAGAAACTAGAGCTATACACAGCCCTTTGTAGAGGAAATGATCAGCATCTAGTCTTATTTGCAAAGCCAGAAAACCCCAAGCCAGTTTAAATGAGACTTTTCACAGTCACAGATAGTGTCCCAGATTTAGAATGGTGCTGAGCAATTACATTTTCCTGAGCTTTCTAAATCAGCGATCAGGATCTGTCTTCTTTAAAATAGGTCCTGGAAAAATTAAATAAATCTTTCTCATTTTTCATGCAAATGAATTTTTAACATGAATTTATTTTACTGTGAAAACAATAGTTACCATGATAGCATGTAAATTGAAAGTATAGAAACAGTCAGACAACACGTTAAGCACATTAATTTAGAAAAGATGTTAATTATTAAATTTCTGCTCTGATAATTACTCAATAAAACATACTTTAAGAAAAGTAAAAATTGAAAACTCCATGTACCTTTCAGTACAGTGAAAAAATATAAAGGAAAACAAAAATACATCCTTTCGGAAGGAATCACTTAGCATATACTTTGAAAAAGTACAGTGGATCTGGAATTTGTTTATCAAACATATCTAAGTGGTTAGTTCATAAGGAAATTTGGCTCAATATTGGTATGACACATTACCTGATTTAGTGATTGGTACTTACTGACTATTGAAAGGACCACAACACTAAAATCAAATAAGTTCCAACCACTTTTGAAGTAGTGCTGTCTTAAGGCCAGTATTTTTATGACACATTCCGCCGTAAATACAGCCACAAAAAAATAGTTGATTTTATTAAGAACTTCCTTGGTGCCTTCCTGGTTATTTTCTGCCATCATAACAACCATGTTTAGGCAGATCAAAATCACAACGATGATGTCAAATGCTGTGTGCTCTACAATATCAAACAGCAATCCCAGGAATGCATTCTGTGGAGAGAACAAGAAATGCTTGATCCTGCTTCCAGGACCCAGCCTGCCTTCAAAAATAATCAGTAATTTGTGCTTAGAAAAAGAATTTAAGGTACTATAAATTTAAGAATAAGCTACTAAAAGTATTTTTAGGTGATTTCTTTAGATCTTCAGTGAAAACTCACAGTACTTGGCTAAGTATATTTAGGCATCAAGCAAGAACATTGGCATGAATGTATATATATATGTGTATATATATATATATTTCAGGAAAACATCCAGAGTACATTGTGATTCCTCTTTTAATAGAAATACTCATTGAAGCAGATATTTTACTATAAGCAATTCAAATTCAAATGTCATAAGCAAGAAAAACTCTGAATAGTTACTATGAAAATCCAGGCCTGGAAATAAATTTAAGAAACCAAAAGAAATAAAGCATAAGATTACTTAAAAGCAAATAACTGCCATGGAGCATGCCCTGGTCTCTATTCATTCTCACCTGCAGTAATCCAACCTAGTTACAGAAGCAACGTCATGCAACCTAAGTAATCAAAAGGTAATGGCATGATTATCAAATATTTAATATGAACCTGTATAAACAGGTTGTATATTTTAATAGGTAACAAATAGGATATAAATTTCCCTAATTAATGCCCACAAAGAAAGACTCTTTTAGGGGGAATTAAGAAAGAGTAAAATGTAAATACTACATTGAATAAAGAAGATGATGGGCTCTAATGCAGAGTTTATTTCCCTGTGCCTGGGCTAGTGAGTTCAAATATGGTCACCATTGTTGTATCTTCTGTCATGTTCTACTTAAGATGGTCTCACCGATGGTCTTGGGATGGGTTTTTGAGGTTTCTTGGATCCAAGCTTTTTTAAGGCATTATAGTACTTTTTCTGTTCCTCAGTCAGAAATAGATCTTTTCCACCTAAGTAAAGGGAAAGAATATAGTTGTTCAGCTGAAGTTTAAGCAGTTCCCTAAAGAAATACCAGCAAATTTCTGTAAAAAAGAGTAAGTTACAGCTGTCCTGAGTGGGACCTAAGAGAACACAGAGACAAACTGTGTCTTCACCATTTCTCCTTTTCACCTTGATCTTTGAAACACCGTACTGGAAAGAGCTGATCTGGGTTTGATCCTGAAAGTCTAGTCTAGGCAGTGTTCCCAAGTCAGTTCCCTCAGTGAGAGCCTTTCTGAAGTTTTACAAATCTATTTCATATTTTAAAAATTACATATGATTCATCAGGAAGGGAAATACTTTCTATTTTTGGGGAAGGTAGAAAGAAAAGTGTATTGATGGACTAGTAGGTAAATGGAGGATAATGGGACCCAGTTCTACAGGGGGTTCCTGACAATGAATTTCTTATTCTCATCTACACCCCCAGATTATTTATCCCCATCTACACCCCCTGCAGTACTTAGCAATCCCTTTGAACCCAGGATTCAGAAACCATTGATCAATCATAAAAGGGGCAAGGAAAGCCACCATTTTTTATTGGACGTGGCAGGGGAACATATTCATCAAAGATGAGGAAAAGGCTGAGGTATTTAACACCTTCTTTACCTCAGTTTTCAACAGTAAGACATGTCCTGAGGGCAGCTGTCTTCTGGGGCTTGTAGAAAGAGATAAGAAGCTGAATAGTCCCCCTGTAATCCAGGAGGAAACAGTTTGCGACCTGCTGAGCCACTTGGATCCTCACAATTCTATGGGAGGAGACAGGATCCACCCAAGGGTGATGAGGGAGCTGGTGGAAGAGCTCACCAAGCCACTCTCCATCGTTTCCCAACGGCCCTGGCTCTCTGGGGAAGTCCCAGATGATTGGAAGTTGGCAAATGTCACAAGAATCCACAAGAAGGGCCAGAAGGAGGACCCGTGAAACTACATGCCTGTCAGCCTGAGTTCAGTGCCTTCAAGGTTATGGAGCAGATCATCCTGAGTGCAATCACACAGCACCTACAGGATGGACAAGGGATCAGACCCAGCCAGCACGGGTTTAGGAAGGGCAAGTCATGTCTGACCAACCTCATCTCCTTTTATCATCAGGTGTCCCACCTGGATGGATGAGGGGCAGGCTGTGGATGTGTCTATCTGGACTTCAGCAAAGCCTTTGACACCATCTCCCACAGTACACTCCTGGAAAAGCTGCAGCCCAGGGCTTGGACAGGGCACTCTGTGCTGGGTTAGGAACTGGCTGGAGGGCCGGGCCCAGAGAGTGCTGGTGAATGGGGCTGCATCCAGTTGGGATCCAGTCACCAGTGATGTCCCCCAGGGATCAGTGCTGGGCTCAGTCCTGTTTAACATCTTTATTAGGTGAGGGGATTGAGTCCATCACTAGCAAATTTGCAGACGACACCAAGCTGGGGGTGAGTGTCGATCAGCTGGAAGGCAGGAGGGCTCTGCAGAGGGACCTGGATAGACTGGAGAGTTGGGCTGATTCCAGTGGGATGAGGTTCAACAAGGCCAAGTGCCAGGTCCTGCACTTTGGCCACAACAACTCCTGCAGCGCTACAGGCTGGGCACAGAGTGGCTGGAGAGCAGCCAGGAGGAAAGGGACCTGGGGGTGCTGATTGACAGGAGGCTGAAGGTGAGCCAGCAGTGTGCCCAGGGGGCCAAGAAGGCCAATGGCATCCTGGCCTGCATCAGGAACAGTGTGGCAGCAGGAGCAGGGAAGTGATTCTTCCTCTGTACTTGGCACTGGGGAGGCCACACCTTGAGTATTGTGTTCATTTCTGGGCTCCTCAGTTCAGGAAGGACATTGAGGTGCTGGAGCAGGTCCAGAGAAGAGCAACCAGGCTGGTGAAGGGAGTTGAACACAAATCCTATAAGGAGAGGCTGAGGGAGATGGGGTTGTTTAGTCTGGAGAGCAGGAGGCTCGGGAGAGACTTCATCATTCTCTACAACTACCTGAGAGGAGGTTGTAGCCAGAAGGGGGTTGGTCTCTTCTCCCAGGCAACTATCAGTAAGATAAGAGGGCACAGTCTTAAGCTCTGCCAGGGGAGGTTTAGGTTAGATGTTAGGAAGAAATTCTTTACAGAGAGGGTAATCAGGCACTGGAATGGGCTGCTCAGGGAAGAGGTGGATTCTCTGTCCCTGGAGGTTTTTAAGATGAGACTGGATGTGGCACTTAGTGCCATGGTCTAGTAACCACAGTGGTGTTTGATCAAGGGTTGGACTTAATCACAGAATCATTTAATCAGCCAGGTTGGAAAGGACTTCTGAGATCATCAAGTCCAACCCTTGATCCACTACGGACATGGTTGATGATCTCAGAGGTCTTTTCCAACCCATCTGATTCTATGATTCTACTCTATGATACAAGGAAATTGCTAAAAAACTTGAGGAAAAGGGGATTCCTCTTTCCAAAACTTGGCTTAAAATGTTATTACTTTAAATTTATCCAGTTAAACAGTTATTTTAAAATGTTAGACATCTGCATGTCAAACCAGCATTCACTTAAATTGGGATTACAGGAGACTCTGAGTTAGCTCCAGTAGTACTTATCTTTTTCCTTTGTTGGTTAAAATTGTTGATAACCACTCCAACAAAAAGGTTCAGCATGAAGAAAGATCCAAAAATAATGAAAACCACAAAGTATGAGTACATGTGTAAGCGTGCTTCAAACTTTGGCTGTTCATTGTTCTGTTAAAAAAAGTCAAACCAGAAAATAATATTGGTAAAAATGAGATAGTCACAGCTTTACCATTTCCAATTTATAATAACAGATCTTTTTATTGTCATGAAAGATAAATTATTTCCATGCATTTAAATCTTTACCTGGATGTACAAGCAGAACCACTGTCTTGGTCTATCTTGCTACTGATTGTAAAGATAATGACAAACAGAGCTATAGAGACAAATCCAGCTTTAGCAAATTTTTAAGTAATAAATAACCAGTTCCAATCAGAAGGGATCAGCTCAAGCTCAACATAATGTTGAACTGCCATCCTCTTGAATGCTATCCCAGACAAGGGGCAATTCTAAAGCCCCAGCTCACTCAGATCAGTCCTACAAGGAACAATCCTGTTAATCAGCAGCTACTTCACTACAGTCAAGAGCACTGAGACTGAATGAGTGAGAAAAATGTAAATCAGGTAAACACAGAGAAGTTAAAACACACTGTCCTGGGAAGAGAGTGAGGAACAGCACAGGCAGATAGGGAAGAAATAGTGAGGATGTCAAGCAGAGGGAAGAGAAACTCCTGAAATAACTGCTCTAGCTGCATGCTGCTTCAATTCTCCTGTTCATGTTTGAAAAGGGAGAAAATTTGCACAGTCCCTTCAAGACCTTCAGTATTGTGTTTCCAAAAGAGACTTGCACAAAACTTGCAACACCTTCCCCTCTGCATTCCTGACACAGCAGGCTTTTGTTTGGTGTCACTCAACTTTGACTTGTTTCTCCTGTCTAATTTCCAGATTTTTGGTTCTCCAAGGGTTATTGTTTCACTGTGCAGTTTGATGCATTCAACCACTTGTATTTTTGCTTTGATATTGCAAATAAAGATGAAAAGGTAATTGCATGGATGGGAAAGGGAAGAAGAAAAGGGAAAACAACTTAAACCTTATTGTAGTGACATACCCCCCGTGAATCCACTGCTGCATACATAATCTCCATCCAACCTTTAAAAGTTGCCTGAAAAAAATGCATTATTAAGTTTGTTATAGCTAAGAAAATAAAAAGAGGTATAGCTAATATAAATGTGTTGATAGTTGTGGTAAATGAGCAGTTTGCTATAAAAAATGTTTATAATTTCTAAAGATCTGCTTGGAAGTATCAATGGAGTTTAGTAAAGAAAAAAAAAGAACTTGCTGAAAATTAAACAAAAACAAACAAGCAAATAAAAATATTTCCTAAAAACAACAACAACAACAAAATCATGATGCTTGTGAAAAGTGTCTTAAATTCTTGTTAAATTAAGGGTGTTTTGTAAAAAAAAAAAAAAAATTGGCAAAACTTTCAGCTTAGCTTGCAAATATAATATGAAAGGATAAAAACAATTTCTTAGCTCACAGCAGACAATTCCTTCCTGCAATTTTTAGCAACTCTGCAGAATGATAAAACACTTTGGATGATCCAGGACATAGAACTTCATCTAAAGATGATACAGGGATAACATCCAATTTAAAACATGCCTTTCTCTCCTTTGTTGTGGTGTTAGGGAGCTGATTAAATTAGTATCCCAATCCTTCATGACTTCTACAGGAAAAGAAAATATAAACAAACTGTGCCCTGATTTTCTTTCTCATCCACTCTGAACTAGACAAAATGAGAATAGTTTTAATTCAGTAACCTGCAGAATATTTCAGGCTTAGTGTGTTAATCAAAATGAAAACAAAACTGAAAAGCCATGAAAGAGAGTTCTTGATTTTAACACAAGCTTGCACATGCTCAGGTGTTCTTTAGGAGGAACTGAGCAGGTCACCAATAAGGAACATGTATATGGAAGTTAAAAAAAAATCCCCAGTTCCCATGGGATAAACAGAAGCATAGTGGTGTCCCATGGTTGGGCTGCTCAACCCATTTCCTTGAAGAAACCAAAACTGAGAATGTTTTTATGGAACTTACCACTTGGAGCAGAGCCAAGTATCCCATCCAAACATTATCAAAGTTTACAGGATAATTTGTCCAATTTCCACCATAGGAATCACAATCACTTTTGTTATTAATGAGACTGATATCTCCTTCCTGGAGAATGCATTTTGAAAATCTTTTCCCAAACCATTTTACTCCTAGAATGTTAAATAGGAGCCAAAAGACAATGCAGACGAGCAAAACGTTGAAGATTGAGGGGATGGCTCCGAGGAGTGCATTGACAACAACCTGAAGGAAATGAATGAAAATAATAATGCATTTTATGTTGTCATTTTCTTAAAAATCTTCAAATGAAGCCATTGCAAAATATTCCCACAGACCCCCAATACCTTTACCTTTATCCCTTCAAATCTTGACAAAGCTCGTAGAGGCCTCAATGCTTTAAGAGTCCTGAGAGATTTCAGGCCACTCCCAGAGGAACAGGGATCTTTGGAATCAGGATTTGGTCCCCAGGAAACAAATGACAGCTGTGTTCATAGAATGGGGGCTGGGGTTATTAAATAGTAAACAAAATTTCCCTTGTTTGTGTTAGCAAACAATTATTACCTGAATGTTATAATATCTTTGACCAGTAATTCAAATTAAGAAAATGCACGTTCCAAGTTATTGTAATATAATTTTACTTCATTCGTTTCTAATATATGAAAACAAATTGGGTTTCCTTCATTCTAATTAAAAATGGGGTTTTCCTGTTTGTTTTTTTTTCTTTTTGAAATCCAGTTCATACAGTTTTTTTGATAGCTAATATGATAACCAAGTTGCTAATTATGGTACTCTGATACACTGCCAGACCAGAAAGGATTTTCATCACCAAAGATGGTGATGTGGAAACAAAAATTATTTTTAAAAATTTGTCCAATATTTTAAATTTTTCTAAGAGAAAAAAATTAAATTAAAATGTTAGAAAAAATTTTTTGTAATTAGGGATTTTTTTGACTGTTCATGATTTGTCTTTTCTCTCCTAGTTGAAATTCTTACATCGTTGTCCAACCATTGGATCTTTTCATGCTTTTCCTCTGATTTGGACAGCACTGCTATTAAGATTAGAAAACCATAATTGATAAAGTTATGCTACATGTTCTTTATAAATAGACAGAAGAGATGATATCTAATAAAAGTTTCTTCAACAACTTCTGATTACTACCAAAAATTTCCATTTAAATTTTCCTAAAGTCTCTCTGGATTGCAGGTTTTTCAGCTTTTGGAAACTGTCTTTCCCACCTGCAGTTATTCGTGATAAGAATTTGCATGTAGTTAAGCAGGTAGAAAATGTCAAAAATCAAAATGTATGAGCAGTTGAATATATTACTTACACATACAATGACAAAGTCAAGCAAACACCAGCAATTTGTGAAGTAACTGTGCAATCCATAAGCTACCCATTTCAGAAGCATCTCCATCACAAAGATGTAGGTAAATATTTTGTCAGCATAATCTAGGATCATTTTCACTGTTTTTCTCTTGTGCAGGTGAATATCTTCAAATGCCTGGAATTTCAGAATTCAGTTTTAAAACAGGTTAGTATCTGTATGGAAAATTATTTTTAAGTTGCATAAGACTACACAGTTTGTCTGATTACAACCATTTCATATTAAATTATGGGTAACCACCACTTCGTTTTATACTTAAAAGTAAAAAATTGGCAAGAAATTTTAGACTCTCTTCTAAACCCCAGGTTTAGCCTCGTAACTAACACACAAGTGTATGAAGAACTATGTTCCCTGAAAAACTACAATTCTATATATTTAAATCCATATATATATAAAAATATCCAAGTGGGAGAAAGCCTTATAAATTTTAGGCAATTCTTCCCTGCGGGAAGAAATGTCAGAGTAGAAAAACAATTAAATACTATTTTCTTTACTGACAACAATAAATTCAAACTTTAAGAAAATAAATGCAATTTACCAGTGCTGCGCTGCTCAGTACTATCACAAAAATCATAAAATATTCAAACCCGCTGTGATTAACAATTCTGTAGCAGGTTTTCCTGAAGTTCCACCAAGTTCTGCCTGGAAACTTAGTGATATCCACTACACAACATGGGAAACATTTACCACAGTCTGAAAAGAGAAAGAACAGTCTATTGGTTCCATGGAAAATGCTGAGACATGGAATTAAAAAACTATAAGACATCTTAGAGAGAGCTTCTACAGACTAGAGAAAGAATGTGCACTTTTACCTATGAGGTGATGCTATGGTTGAAATGATCTAAAGATAAAGAAAAGAAAAAACTTGTATGCCATGATCTCTTTTATTAGAGTAACTCATACATGGATAAGAAAGAGCATTGGTTTTGTGCCCTTGTGCAGAAAGGCTTGTGGGCACCAAAAAAAAAAAAAAAAAGCACCTTTACTTTCATATACGTTTATTATCTGCATTTCTTCTTTTTGTTTGAAAAGAGATATTACATTAGTTAATTATTATTTTTACTGATCATTTAACTTTCTTGCACTGCAGAGACATTACAACTACACTCCCTGTTCACTGCTTTCCACCAGAAACACTCCATGAATCTGTAAAGGCAGCAGGATTGAACCATGAGAGTCAACGGAGTCTAAGGAGATGTTCGGGTAATCAAAGGTAAATGTCAACACTGGGATGAGCAGAAAAACAGATTCTGCTAATTTAGACATGTTCCAAGTGAATATTTTTCAACACTGGTTCATTTGGTGTTAGCACAATACAAAAAGATTCCTACTTCCTGCAAAACAGTCCTTAGGCAGGTGTGAGTTTTTGGTCTGGGAAACCATCTCCAGACCAACAGCTGGATCCACAGTGCTGGCTTCAGAAAAGCTACAAGCAGCATCACATTTCTGTGTGGGAGAAAAAGAAAGAGGAGAACTTACTTGCTTTTCATTAATAAGGTTAACAAGCCTAATATAAATGAAAATTATCATACCCCCACCCCCTCCCCAAAAGAATTCTGCAGTCTATAAATTATCTTATGGTTGCTGAACTATCAAATTAAAACTACTACAAATAATAGGACAGAAAAAGTCAATGCCTACTTTTGTTTCCATGGTTTTAAGTTAATAAGTTTCTTGGTTTCTTCTACTCGTCTAAACAGGACATGCAGGGACAAAAAGACTTTCTTATGCTACAACTTTGGAGAAAAGTCTGACTTCTTCAGGCCAATCCAATTCTCTTTTCATTTTCAGAGGTACAAACCATGTCTCAAAAGGCTTGATGATGGAAAGGCCTGGCAGGTTAGAAATGTGTGTATGGTCCTGCAATGGGTTTCTGCTGCTGGGTTTTGGTATCTGGAGGGGGTGCGGTAGGGGGGGCTACAGGGGTGTGGTTTTTTAGAAGCTGCCAGAAGCTTCCTCTGTCTCTTGGAGCCAATGCCAGCCGGCTCCAGGACAGACTCCTGCCGCTGGCCAAGGCCAAGCCAGACAGGGGTGACAGTAACCCCTCTGTGTGATAACATATTTAAGAACGTTGAAGGAATTCCAGCTAGAGAAGAGTGGAGTGAGGGAGTGTTAGTAATAAATTTAAGTACTATCCCCACTTCGAGTCTGTTTTGCCGCTGAAGGTAATCAGTGAATGACCTCTCCCAGCTCTTACCTCAACTCATGAATCTTTAGCTGGTTTTTTTTCGCTCTCCTTTGTCCAGGGAGAGTGAGAGACCTGCTTTAGTGGGTACCTGATATCTGACCACAGTCAACCCACTACAGGTCTACAGACCACAAAGAACTGTAATTACTGGTAGGTAACTTAGGAAACTAAAGACAGTAAGGAAATCAAGTATAAGGAAAAAAAATAAAGGCAGCTATCAGCAATAATGTGTAAGTGCCCTGTACAGCATGGAAAGGGAAGGCATGAGGACATATATAAGAATGGGAAGCCAGAAGAAGGGAGAATTTCCTCTTCCTCAACAGCCATGATGCTCTACACTAATCTAAGGTCATATGGAATCTTCACCATATACAAAAATGCAATTATTTACATAAATTGGCACTGTAATGTTTTCAATATTATTTTTAAATATAAGTATATTTCAATAATGTATAACAAACAAAAAGTCTAGCAACCGTGCCTAAAACCAGAAATGCTAATGGAGTTAGACTTTTGGGGGCAGTAATCCAGAAAGATGCTGAACTTCCATTGAATTTTCTGGATCATTGGAGGCAAGTCATGATTCTCCACCTTTTTTGATATGGAACTGTACTGTATTAGAATATTAGAATGAGCTGGGTTTCTATACTAGAAAAAGCATGGTTGTTTAGGGAACCATTTCGAGAGAGCACATTTTTGCATCCAAGAATGACAGCAAACAGAATTATCCAGAGAAACTAATAGCACCTCTCAGGCATGCATAAAGTAAGTGAGGTTCTTGGTTAGTTTCTGTTTACTTATTTTGTACAAAATAATACATGAAGTTACACCATTATCCATGGCTATTGGTGAGAGACAAACCTCCATGTTATTACTGCCTCTGGAAAGATGTGCCACCTCCATAGGGATTACACTTGCTACTCTTCAGAAAATCCCAACCTGTCCTGCCATTGCTGAGTGGGAGAACAGCTGTGACAGTTAGCATCTCTAGCATATTCCAAAAGATGATAAAGGTAGAATTACCTCTTTTTGCTCTTGCTTTTCATGTGTTACTGTGAAAACATGTACAGTTTCAGGAGTGCCAGAAATCTGACTGAAGCTGCCTGAACTCCGCTGCTGTTCTCCATCTC